TTGCTAATGTAATATTTTCCCTATAACTATTCCAAAAGCACACAAAAAAGTATAAATAAGTATTTATATTTGTGTACAAGCTGTTTAGATTGTCAAAAAGCCTGTGTTTTTAGGATTATTAACAAAGTTCATGTACTCAGACAGTTATATTTGGGGTCACAAGTTTTTGCCATGAATATTTTTTGGGTCATAAGATAAATAGTTTGGGAACCACTGCTCTAGAGAAGGCCTTAGTGTCAGTTTAACAGGAAACAAATAAACATGTTTCAAAAAGCCTGCAGGAAAAGGTCTGTTTGATGCATGAACAGGACAGTGAATCACAAAAACACATCAGACCCAAAGTAAAACATGGTGGAAGCATCTTGCTGTAAGCTGTAACTATGTACAGATCACATCAATTTATCACTTACAGCTCATAGAAGCAAGGCTTTATTTTGAGAGAAAAGTTAAGATAAAAGCAATTTAATATACATCTGCATGTCTTTAGTATGGGATAGTGTAAACAAAAATAAATTGTGAAATGAAATCCATCTATCTTCTACTGCCTGTCTATAGATGGGTCATGGAGGCAACAGGTAACCCAGACCAAGAGGACGCACAATTCCTCCAATGAGTTCTGGTTCTGCTCCCAATGGAACCTGTCTGAAAAAACCTACAAAGAGACGTCCAATGAAAAGATTTGCTCCTTAGTTTACAAAAATATGTTAAAATATGGTCATATTTGACTATTTAAAGGCACCATGGATATTTTGTTTCCACCACACAACATGGAGGGGAGAAAGCAAAGATTATAAATATCTATAAAGGCAACAGTACCAACTGCAAGCTGCATCATGTTCCTCTGACCACATGAAGTTTCTGGGACCAATGAGACAAAATGAGCTTTTTCTGGCTCCAGTCGCATCAYGTGTGTGTTTAGACTATTATGGAAGGATGTCAACAAATTTATCAACATCTAATTTCCTGGACTAGTAGACTTAAAAAGTACACAAGTGTTATCCAAGAACAGTGTTCTCATAGTCCCTGCAGGCAGAAAGAGGCTGACTCACTGAATTCATCATGGCCAGCTGGGATGGGTAAGCCTTGCAGGGAAACTGGATCTTCACCCCACCGATGGTGTAGTCCACAGGGGAGGACATGCTGCTTTATACCTGCTTAACAAACAAATACCTACAYCTTGTCATTACATTCAGTTTAAATGTAAAGATAACCACGTTCTTATGTAATACTACCATCCATCAGCTCACAAGTACAGCGAAACCAGGATTTTACAGCACACTATTACCAAACATTACGTTTCTCTGAAGACCTAGGTGCTATGTATTTACCAAACATCACGCCGTAACTTACTGTCAGCAGTTATGGCTAGTCTTTATATCCGGAGGTTTAATTAGTAACTATAGAACAAAAATAATGTTCTCACGCGACTTAAACATAAAACTGGAGCTAACAATCACTTAACTCTTCCCGCTCACCGAATAAAGCACTAAAACGGAAGTCATCGTATTACTTCCTGTTTTGACTTTCAAAGTAAAATCGTCATTGCAGTACTTCACAGATTACTGCACTTGTTCTGATAACTATCTCGTAAAACTATATGTGGGAAGTATCTGTATACATATTAGTCCTAAAATATCCAAAATATATATTGGCAGCTAGTTTGTATGTAATGTCAGACGTAAAAAAAATTTTATTTTGAAATCTAAGTTTGCTGCCGGATGTTCGTAGTTTTTTCCGATTGGTAATAAGGAAATACAAAAGAAGCAAAGAAAAAAAAATAATAATAAGGCTTTTTTTAGCGCCTGTCAAGACACACAAGGGCACTTTACAACGT